AATTACACGCTCCGGCGAGAAGAAATTTCCCGCGAAGACGCGTCATAGTACACGGATACGATGGCCTGTGGCAAGCGGATGTAGTTGAGATGCGTCCATATACGCGCTTCAACAGAGGTTACCACTACATCCTCACTGTCATCGACGTGCTGAGTAAGCATACATGGGCCATGCCGCTCAAAGCCAAGAGCGGGAATGAGGTGACGCGGGCAATTGCAAAGATAATTCGAGACGACCGAAGATGTCCGAAAAATTTGCAGACTGACAAAGGAAAGGAATTTTACAACTCACATGTGCAGAAACTCTTGAAGAAGCACAACATCAATCATTATTCTACGTATTCCGTAATGAAGGCATCGGTCGTCGAACGATTCAATCGTACATTGAAGAATGACATGTGGAAACAGTTTACATACAACGGAAACTATAAATGGATCGAAATGCTGCCGCGTCTCGTGTCGGATTACAACGCGCGTAAGCATCACACTATCGGCATGCGACCCGCTGACGTAACTCCCGCGATCGCCGAAAGACTCCTGGGCACGGTGTATAGTGCGATAAAGATCGCTGGTCCCGCAAAATTCAAAGTGGGCGATGCGGTACGCGTAAGCAAATTCAAGACAATATTTGAAAAAGGTTTCACACCGAATTGGACCACGGAGGTCTTTAAAATTATCAAAGTGCAGCAAACTAATCCAGTGACGTATCTACTGGAGGATTCCCGCGGAGAGCTCATAGCTGGAGGATTCTACGAATACGAACTGCATCGCGTCGCTAATCCTGATGTGTATCTCGTTGAAAAAGTGTTGCGCAAAAGGGGAAACGAGGTTTATGTGAAATGGTTGGGACTTGACAAATCACACAATTCGTGGATTCATAAAGACAATGTATTATAAAATTATAAATTATACATTATAAAAATTACACATTATATAAATTATATATATTATACATAAAAGTATATTAAATATCCTACATTAAAGTGTATTAAATATCCTTTATAAATTATATTACATATTATATATTAAATATATTATACATTTTATACAAGTTATATGTATGTATGTATATGATATGTGTTTTATTTACACCGGTAATGTCCCCATGGGAGCGTGTTGGTAGAACCTGATACGATATACCGCTTATCATCGTGTGGACTTAGAGCGATTTTTGTTTCCGATATTGTATACACCTCGTGTAATTTCGATCTGATGCACGATTGTCTGCGCATCATTTCAATAACATCATTCAAGCATTTCGTGTAATCATCAAACGTTATGGATCTTGCCACAACATTGCTTTTGACACCCTTTGCTTTTTTCGTATCCTTCTTTCCTTGTACACGTAAAGCGTACATTTTCGCTCTAAGCCCGACGAATTCAGTCATGATGGCACCGTTGTTTTCATCTTTCATAAGACCAGGAACTTTTTTATTCGCGAGCGGAATACTGTACGGGTTGTCAATAGAGTAATCGCTCGTATCAAATCTATCGATATCGCGTTTTATAATTTCATATACGTCGTCACATTCTACATGATATATGAGGCTATCAGTATCGGTATACATAATTTTGCATTTATCGTGAAACAACGGTGCCATATATTCGTGGTGAAACTCGTACAAACACGTTTTCGATATATCGAGGATGCACATACCCACGTATATCGGTTTGTCGAACTTCACCTCGAGTTTACGCAGCTCTATCGCGACCAGATTCTCCGAGAAAACGCTACGACTGTGAAAGTTGGGTTTCGCGATCATTGCTTCGGCACCGTATCTGCCTTCCCATTTTGTTACTAATTTTACATCAACGCGATCGCGCACATTCTCCATGGTTTTACCAAATACCGCGTTATTCATAAGTTTGTATAAATTTTTCTCAAAATCATTCTTTGCCAAAGTTCTAAATTTTGTATTTAATTCTATGTAATCGCGAAGCCATGGAGATTGCGTGAATTGCAGTATACGGTGAATCTTTGCGATACTGAGGCCGTGACGAGTACACTGCTGCAGGTTGCGATAATGAATCACGTAACGCTGCTTATCGCATAACGTCGCGAGGAGCTTGTCATCGCGCTTGCCGGGTGGTTTCTCTCGCGTTGGACAGAACGGTAGGTCAGTGTGCGCGTCGTGGAGATGTTGTGGGTACTCAATGTCAACCTCGAGAATATAGCCTGTAGGTGAATCTAGCGGGATGGTCGAAAAGTCGAAATTTTGCACGTCGTCGACCCATCGAAAATCAGCGTATGGTAATGGTTGACACATTGCCCAGCCGTAGAGATTGTTGACGTCATAGTACATTAGGTACGATGATGGTTTCGATGAGTCGTACGACGATATGTATTTGTTGTTGGCTCGCGCGTACCTGTTTGAGCACTGGCTCAGACCACCGCGTATACCGCGCTCGACAAACATGACCATGTCAATGTCTGTGAGCAGTTCAAATTTTACACCCGTATGCTTCAACATGGCATCCCATGTGAAGCCAGGCAAGGTGTAATAATATGCGGGGTCGAGCCCGTAACTCGCGACGCAACTGTCGCGGAAATTTTCAAATACGTCGGCCAACAACAATACATCTGTTTTTAGATACAGGTCGCTATATTCACCGAGCGTTTGGATGGAGAACCGCTGCCACACGTTGACAGCGTGCGCGTAATCGCTCTCGGATACCGTGTCGTCTGTCAATGAACTGTAAAACGAATCGCGAGGCGGCAAGCACGATTCATTCAATTTTTCACTGCAATCAATGTACTCGTACGGAAAGACACCTTTTCGAGTTAAAAGATTGAAATTTTCTTCCGATAAATGTGAAAATTCGCGTCGCAATACCCGCAGCTTGTCTTTATTGAGAAAAGATGCTAATTTGTCTAAACTAGAAGCGAGAAATCTATATGAATCTATGAAACGTAGTTGTATACAATTTTTTTTATCATCTATAGTATCATCAACGTGTTTAGTAAAAGAGGTATATTTTTCTTTAGTTATCGGTAAGAGATCAACGTGTCCTTCATAGGCAGTTGCAATTTCCTTTATAATGAAATGAGCGTCGTAACCGGTTAAATTATGAAAGACTACGGGTATGCATCGCGAATCTTTATAATTTAAATTACAATTTGAATGCGCGGGACCTCTATATCGCCCGGTAAGATGACAGTGATCGCGTGCCCGCTTATCATCTTTCGCGAACGGTTTTTCGCATACGTGGCAGTGCGTGGCGCTATTAAATTTTTCACAGTCGTCTCGCGTGAAATCCATGGGAACATTGGTCGAAATTATAGATTGCACACTATGTGCTAAATTTTTCAATTCGTCCGCGAACCATGATATGCAATTATTATCGCGGCGAAAACGATAACCCGACAGTGAATCGTCGTATGAGCAATGAATGTAATACGCTATACTAAAAACGTTGTGATGTTGATAAGTGTACGTGGAGGTTGTTGGATCCTTATCCGTTTTCTCCAATGAGCATTCCAAATCGGCGTAGACTACGAACGGGACGCGCTCCTTTCTGCAGTGATTGCGGAAGCTCAGCCACTTGTCGTCCTCGCTCGGCAGCCTTACTGCACAATCGTTTAATTTTCCACAGTCGACGCTGTGGAGGTCCAATTTAGCGCTCGAGCCAAAGTAGTGCAAGCATCTGGAAAAAAAAAAATTTTTTAATAAAATTATTAGTATTACTGCTATTATTATTATTATTATTATTATTATTATTATTATTATTATTGTTATTGTTATTACTATTATCATTATTATTATTATTAATTATTATTAATTACACATACCTATCGCAGAAATATTTCCTGTTCTTCTTTTTACTTATTTGTGATCTCACGAGGCGTGATAGGTTATTGATCAACGCGAAATGTCCCTCGATGTCATCCTGCACGTATAGGAGGTTCACGTGCTTGTTTCTCTTTCGGTCAGCGAGTCGTATCGGTACGATCCCATCCTCGATGGCGTAGACGTTGATGGAAATGTCGTTGAGATTTTCAAATTTTTTAATTTGATTTAACGTCATCGGGAACTCAATACCCGTGAGATTTAGTACCGATAAGTAGTGTGAATATGAAGATTTCCGTTCCACATTTTTTTTGGCGGGATGTAGAGCTGCAACCACCGACCATGCGAAACAAGCAGTGTCTTTGGATTGCACATTGATCACCGCTCTCTTTAACATAATTTCTCGCGGGAGTTTGATGTGACATCCCGCGCGCAGAGGATTCAGTTTATTCGCATTAACAATCAAGTTCAATATACGTGACAGTGCCCATCCGCTATCACGTTCTTGAAACTCTTCGAGCGATGCTAGGATTGGCTCGACGACGCGCGACACGTACCACTCGCGCTGATCGGTGCATCGATATATTTCATAGTTCCTGGTTGCGATGCTCTTGTTCGCGCGTTTGTCACCCGCCACGAATTCACCGTTAAACACAGTATTTATCTTTATAGAGTCATATCTCTGTAAAACACACTGCACACGCTCGAGCGCAATTTCACTCACGTCTTCGAGGAATCGGCGAGGGTCGATGTGATTAGAGTTTATCACCGCGCCCGTTAAAATACGGCTTTCGAACGCCGTCTCGATCTCGCGCCATCGGAGTCCATGTCCGGCGCCCACGTACACGAATCGTCCGCGCACTGAATCCTTTAAACTCTCAAGCCGCGAGATACGTGCGATCACTGATTGTCTATTACCGATCGAGAATCGCGGGCGTTTGATCCGACTCTGTTCTTCCAGAGATTCGATGAATTCGTCGCATCGCTGTTCCCACGCGATGTACTCTTCTCTGGTACTAAGCTGGTTAGCTTGCTGTATCAAATCTCGCTCCATGTCGCTTGATTGACTAATGACACGATGCGTCTAAATCTTTGCGTTTTAT